GTACAATATTAACCAATGGATCCTTGACAAACTAAAATGGTGATGACACAGCTATTCTAACAGTAATTTATGAGAAAGAATAGTGGGAATCAAAAACCATGGTCAACTCAGGGACGCTCACTGGTTGAAGTGCTGCTGGAGCTGTAACTCTGCATGTTAGTGTTTGCATACTCAGTGGGAACCTAACAGCATTGCGTGCAGAACTGCATGGCAGCCAGATTGCCTAGAATTCTGAGAGTGCTCAATAAACTCTGGTAAGGCAATAATTGTGGTTTATTAGTATAAAAGTTTAGTAATTCTTCATAATTCAAAAGCTTCTAGTGGACCACCATGATTCATATTAAAAGTGAAAATCTGGATTTGTGTGTCATTGCCCCTAAGAAAGGCAGTTTTAAAGCTGTTTGTGCTCCCTTAGGAGGCCTCTCCCAGCCCTCCAACAGGAAATGAACTACATTTCTTTGACTTACTGATCCTGGATAGCACCTTGGATTAGTAATCACATGATTAGGCTTTTGATATCATTTATGTTACTGAACTGATGTTTGATCTGGAACATGACTATGTCTTATATCTTGCAATAAAATAGGGATTATAATGGTTGTTCCTTAAGAATAATATGAGAATTGATTAAATGACAGTAGTAAGATTTATCTGCTGAGAGAAAAGTAAATTCACTAGAAGGTTCTTTGCTAATACATGCAGAATGAATGCATAATGATGTCCAGACAGTAACCCTCACAGAGAAACATGGTTACCGTGTAATGCAATCTTCTGCCTGCTTCTCGTTGTTCATCTTGTCATACAGCACAGCGGCCACCGCCAGGGGGCCTGCATCCCCACAAAGGAAGGTGATGGAACGTTTGGTCAAACAGTTCAGACTTTGCTTTACATAGCCATGTGCCATCTGTAGGTAGGCAGGGTCCCCAAACACATCATAGAGATGTAAGTAAAGCACAGCAATACCTGAAAAGCAAAAAAAAAAAAAAAAGACGAGGAAAGGAAAGCGTAGTTATTTTATTATTTTGGTGTGTTGCTTACTCAACAGTGTTGATTTTTGCTAAGCTGTAACAAATATGTAAGTTGGATATCTGGAAGTCTGGATAACTTTAATTCTAGGCTCAGCTCCATCACTAAACTGCTCTGAGAACGAGGCATAGGCAAATCACTTACTTATCTTCAGTTTCCTCATCATTACCACTCTACTAAATAATAAAAACTCTAAGACTCTGGCCAACAGACACAGAGTCTATTACTAATCTTTACCGTACTCTAGCTATTGTGTTAATGCATTATTCTTGATGGTTAAATGATAGGTCATCAAACCATGGTTCCAAATAGTCATCTATTTATTTAATGAATAATGATTTATTTAATTAATAATAAACATGAAATGTTTTGTTCTTGTGAGCTAAAGAAATTCAAACACTAGGTAATGAAAAACTCTATTTCTCTTTATATAAAAGATAGGCTTTTATACGAAAAGGTAGTGTAACCCAATCCCCTACCCCAATAATATCCTTCTAGTCAGGGATTATAAAAATGTTATTTGATACTTGAGAAAATATATTCTATTCCTCCTTAACTTTTTTTCCTCTGTCAAGGACTCAGCTACTTTGGTAACTATAATGTAAATGCTGCCAATGATTTTTGCCTTGGGCCTTACTTAATTTGCTTCTTATGCTACTCTTGAAGCCTACTATATACGTAATTGAGACGTTGTCTGCATGTCCTTATTTCAAATGCCTGTCACAGAGGATAGAGCCTTTCCTCTGAAGCCAGCTGGTTGCAGGGCAGACTCAAAGATGTGGATGGAGTAGGAAGCCTGCCTGCCTGCAGCATTTCCAGAAACCCATTTTTCCCCATTAAAGTACATTTTCCATCTCATTTACCATTTTTAGAAGACACAGAGCCTCTGTTTAAATCTAAATTAATAGAGCCAATCTCTTCACAGATTTCAATGCAGTAAAAATGCAGTCTGCAAAATTACTTTTCACTATACTGAGGACAATTTTAAATTTAGATAGTTTTCTCATCTTGCACGGGTAATCTCCAAAGCTTTGTGCTACAGACAATTCAATTTCACGTGTATATTAAGGCCAAATTTTCATTTCCTGCCAAAGTTAATAACCTTGTCTGCTCTTTCAAAGTGGCTTGGTGTTAGTAATTCCACAAGCTGATGATCAGATGCACCAATGCTTACGGTTTGTAGATAAGTGTACAAAACCACGTATGTGGGTAAGAAAAAAAATTCTCCTTTTCACAAATGATCAATGTCAACAGCTTCTTCTAGAATTAGGTCCTTAATAGGCTTCATCTCCATCCATATCATGCGTCTGCAGGCGATCCGTTTAAACTGTTACCCTTTCATTTTGCCCGCTTATTCCACATGCTGCCTGAACTCCCCTAATTAAGTTATGTAAGCACCAGAGCCAGATAATGACATGTCTGAGATCTGAGAAAATAAGAAGTGATTAAATACAAGCGCAGTGATTGTTTTCCTTTTCAGACCTTTGTCTCTCATTTGCAACAAGTCCTCTTGGCCTAAATATTTAACAAACAAAACCTATTAAAGCTTGCAATTGTCAAGTTTGATGTGTTTCTGATGGAAAACGTAATCATTTCTTGCAAGTCTCACAATATTACACCTAGATGAAAATATTTTTTTTCTTTTTCTTTTTGATCAGCTGAGGATTATCTTTCTAGTTTCTGGGATTCCACCATCTCAGGTTCCATTTCTCTCCTTCCTCTCGTCTGGGCCTCAGTGTCTGCAGGTTTTGATAAGCAATCTTTTGCAGGTCACAGTTTACTGTGTCTATGATCCCTGTCACAAAACACCCATGGATGAAAAGGACTTTAAGTGATAAGTGTTGCTGTCAATTAGAAAAATTTTCTTGCACATGCTTATTACAAATCAAGTCTCAGGTCAGGAAAATTAGACAAAATGCTTAAGTCAAAGACATTTAATACCTCATCAATATTTTATACCCCACGTGTCCTAATTTAATAATAGTGAAAATGGGGGAACAGCTTGTGGCCAAATGTCTTGATGGTCCTTATGGTCCTCTGACCCTTGACAATTTCCATGCATATGACATCATCTTTAAATAAATACCAAAGACTTAGGGAGAGCTGGCAAGGTGGGAAAGACACAACTTCAAAGGCTCTGTAGGAAAAATTCATCTAGTCCTTATATATACTCACAGGCCTGGCTTCAGTAAATTCTTTCAAATGTAATTGTTATTAAAATATATATGTTCTTCATGGAAAAAGTCATATAGTACTGCAAGACTTAATATGTAAAACACCAATCCCCTACCTCACCCTATTCCTGTCTCCCAGACGCAACCACTTTCAATAATTTTAGCCATTTCCTCTAGCATTTGCCTCTGTATTTCTAATGATATGCTTATGTGCTATCTCTTAATTTTTCTATTTCAGATATTTTCGACTGATATTCTACTCTGGAAGATGAGGATTTAGCTAGCTTCTGTGACAGAAATGGCTAGTGGCCACTGCAATGGACAGCAAAGTGTAACATTCCCATCACTGCAGAACGTTCTAAGGATAGTACCGCTCCGAAGACTAGGGATAGATGTCATTTTGTATAAGAAGGTCAGGAAGTTTAGCGCTGCCTCACAGTTCACCCTAGGAATATCTTGGTCTTGAAATGTTGTTGACTAATTTACTTGAAAGAAAAGAGTATACTCGAGGACCAAATAAAATTCTGCTGGAATAGGAATTGGTCCTGGCTTCAGTATGGAAGCTCTGGACTAGACTTTTCTATTTTTTTTCCATAGATACTATTCTGGGATGGAGGGTAAATTGTTAAGGGACACTTCTAAATCTGCAATTTCCTTACTCAGCTACTTATCCCCAGTAGTACTATAAATACAGCCAGCTGTTGAGATGTAATTAATACCAAGCCTTTGAATTTCTGAGGGATCATTAGTCCTATTCATCTTGACCAATCCAGACCTTGCTGTGTCTCAAATGTATATAGAAATGATAAACATCTTCACAGATATATGGACCTCTCAAAACACTTCTCTGTAATTTTGCATTCTAGAGATTACCCTTAACACTTTTCATTTATTTTTTATCATTCATTTCATTCATTTATTACCAAACTACAGTAATATAAAAACCTTTGTACCATGGTACTTCAAATCTGCAAGGTGTTTTCTT